TGGCTTCCCTGGCTCCCTCCCTGCCCTTTGTTTTTTCTCTCATCCCCTTTCTCCCTCTTCTCTCCTTCTAGAGGCCTGCCTGTCCTCTTGCTCCCTCCATCTCCTGAACCCTAGCACTGTGAGTGACTCAGCCAAGGAGAAGCCTTGAATGTTCCGAGGTTTTTTTTGTCTTAGCTCTGGTCTGGGTGCTGAGCGCCTGAGCTCCCCACCGGGTGGGAGGGGAGAAGGGAAGGAGGCTGAGTCGGGGACAGGTAATCTTCCTAGAGGAGCCTCCTCTCTCTTTACAAAAGGGGGACAGTCCCCCTTTTGTCTGGGGCTCCTGAGGGGCGTGTCCAGGGCCTAAAACCACTACCAGCGGCATGCAGGAGGAGGGGACTGCAGGGGCAAGGGCTCACCAAGTATTTTACTGGAACCTGAGCGGTTCTTCTCTGTGTGTGCCCATGGGAAGGAGAGACAGAGGGAGACCCTTTCCCTGCCCCCACAAGCATTCAGAGTACCTTGGCCACTTTTCCAGGAAGGCCTCCCCAATCCCCCTCAGCCAGCAGCCCCTGTGGAAACAGGATGAGGGGACATGCTGCCTGGTAATCCACTCTGCCCACCTTTAAGGTTATGGCCACTGGCAGGAGAAGGACAATTGACAATCGACAATTGTTCTGCCTCTGTGTTCTCCCTTGGGAAGGGCCTGATGCTCCTCGGTTAGGGGAACATTGAGAGGGCTTAGTGGATTCTGCTGGGCTTCCTGAGGCTCCATAGAGACACCCCACCGGCCCTTCTGGACCACTTCTGTGTCTGGTCTCTCCGAACTCCATTGACCTTTGATTCTTCCCTCCATCCAGCAATGAATTATGGATTTTGTCCCGTTTCCCTAATGTCCACATAGATCCTCCCATCCGCCATCTCTGAGCCACCCACCCAATTCTACCATCAGATTTAGAATCAGTTCATGTTCAGTGTATCTCTTCTACCTGGCACTGTGGTCTGTGAAATGGAACATGCCAGAATTCTCCAGGAGGCTTACATTGGCCATTTTCTGTTTGGGATCTAATATTTAGTATAAATCAAAATAGCAGGAAAACACCCCCTTTCCAAAGACAGGCTCCTTTGTAGTTTTTACCTTCTCATCTTGACTTTAGGAAGTAAGACTGTTTCAAGGTGGATAGGCAGGATTTGTTATCTTATGTCACTCAGCTAACATCTTTGGCTAATTGGACTTAGGGTGGTTATTAACATGACGTTAATTATTGAAGTCACCCTAAGAAGCCAGTCCAGAGTGACACCTGCCTCCTGTTCTCTCACCTCGGGGACAGCTGTGAGCTCACTTCAGACCACTCAGGACCAGAACGGGGGTTCCAGGTGCTGGGAGGAACCTTTCCCATTGTCAGGGTTCAGTGCCAGCCCAGGGCTGCATGTTTTGCTTTGGCACACCCCAGGCACTCTTCTGGGAACGTTTCTGCAGAGCATAAAGGCGGAGAGAGAGCACAGTGTTTCAGATGGGGCAGAAAGGGGCACGAGTGAGCAGTGACCTTTCCCATTGCCAGCTGAGGACTGAGCCCCCCCTGGGGAGAGGGTAGCTGTAGGGACTCCTCTGAGCAGCGGGATCAGGCTCACTGTGTCCACGTCCTCCTCTGCTTGTTTCTTTAATAACTGTCTCCTTACTGCTTCTGGAAAGCCTAAGGCATGGCTGCTTAATAGCCCCTGTTGGAGAGAACCACTGTGGAGGAAGGTGCTCCTGGCCTTTCTTCTCAGTGCTTACCTTCCTGCCAGCCTAAGGGGAAGGCCCAGGAGCAGGGGCTCCTGGTGGGCCTCTTCTCTGTAACTCTGTTTCCCCAAGGCTGTTCCTTTTCCTGATAGAGCCTTTTCCTTTCTGTTTTGTTGTTTCCTTTCTTAACTTTCTCCCTGCTATTTAGGTTTCTTATTTTATGCTCTTGCACCTTGCTCCGTGTAGTTCAGGCCCTTTAGTCTGAATTGAATCAAGTGACAGGTGAGTGTCCCCCTTCCTCCAACTAAGAGACACTAAACACAGATCAAGTGGAGGGGGCAGAGCTGGAAAAAGCAAAGAATTAAGTGGCTGGGTGGTGGGGGAAGCATTGGAAAGACTCGTCTGTTTGGAAGTAGTGTCCATCTTCCTGTCTTTGTCATTTCTCCCCCGGGTTGGCTGTTGTGTTTGTGGCTGCAAGTAGCGCTTGTCAGCGGAGTGCTGTGACAGGAGGCTATTTTAATAAACTGTTGCAGTTTCTCGAGCCGAGCTGCATTGCGTTGGCACCCTCGTCACCACTAATGGAGCGTGCGTGGCTGGGTGTGGGCTGAGGGAGGCAGCCAGCGGAGCCCACTGTGGGCTGGGAAGGGGGTTTGCAGAGTGTTGGGGGGCTGCTTGTCTGGGAGAGCTTCTGCAAGCAGCAGCCAGACCCAGGGGCGAAGGGGTGGCCGCACCCTGGGCACCAGGTCCCTTCCCTGGAAGTGCTGCTGGCATCGACACTTTCCGAGCTCTCTTTCTTCTCTTTCTATTCATAGCACCACAGGCTCGTGTGTATGGCCAGGGAGGAAAACTTCCACTCGCCCTGTGTGCTCCATAAATAAAAAAAGAAATAGAACCAGAAAAAGAGAGAGTGTGCGGGCCTAAGAGAAAGAGACTGAAACCAAAACAGAGAGAAGGCGCAGCTGCTTTCCCCAAGGCCTTCTGGGGCTCCCGCCCGCCAGCCTGCCCGCCCGGAGTCAGGCCTTTATTTATTTAATTTTCTGTTAAAAAAAAAAATTCCGAGTCTTCCTCAATCCTAGTCCCCTCCACCCTCCCTCCAAATTTGCTGGGTGGCCGCTGCCAAATGGACCCGAGTGGGAGCCTGGAATGAAAAATTCATAACTGCTGGACTTTGCTTGTTCATTAGACGTGAACTTGTCGATTGGGCAAATTGTTTTTGGTCTCCAACTGCCGGGGGCTCTCCCCACCCTCCCGGCTTGCCCGGTTCCCTCCTCCCCTTGGACTCAGCCATTGGCTGCTCGAGGATGTCTCATTGCCAAATAGGTGGATCCTTCCCCCTCTCTCTCTGTCTTTCTCTCTCAATCTCTCTCTTCCTTCCCCCCTCCTTTTTACTGGCTTTGGCAGGAGCAAGTGGATAGGGATTGAGCATGAAAGGGGAGAGAGAGCGAGTTTGAGAGAAAAAGAAGCAAAAAAAAATCCAAAACCCAAGCAGCGCTTGCGCGCGCGCGCGCGCACACCACACACACGCGCGCGCGCGCACACACACACACACACACACACACACACACACACACACACACACACACACACACACACATCCACGTCCCCCTCACTCCCTCTCTCCCTCCTTCCCTCCCTCCCTCTCGCGTTCCCTCTCTCTCTCGTGCACGCGTCTGCCAGCGACAGTCTGCAGCCGGTCCGAACTCGTCCTTTCCCCGGGAATCTGCGAGCTCCCCCTTTGCTCCGACCGGGCTCCGAGGCGGAGGGAGGCGGCTCGAAGTTTACACCCCTGTGCCGCTGCCAAAGCCGAAAGCCTTTTTCCTCAGCTGCCGCTTTTCCCCCTCCTGGTTTTTGTTTTTGTTTTGTTTTGCTCGGGGGTGGGGTAGGGTGTGCTGTGTGTTGGGGGTGAGCGGCTGGGAGGCAGGTTTTTATTTTTAAATTTTGCATATTTTTCTTTCTTTTTTTAACTGGAAGAGGATGCACAGGGGGTGAAATTGAAAAAAAAAATTTTTTGTTGTTGGCTTTTGTTTACCTGCCGTGTGTGGCAACTGGCTCGCTCCCTCGCTCAGCTTGCTATCCCTGACCTTTCTTTCTTTTTGCTCCTTTTCAAAAAAAAATATTAATTTCCCCCTTCTGTGCAATGGAGCGTGGAGGGGGGAGGAGGGGGAAGGGTTTGAGAATCCACCCAAGCCCAGCCCCTCTTCCCCGGAACACCAATAATAGCCCCCTTTAAAACATTTACCTTCCTCCTCGGCTCCGCCCCCTCCCCCTCCCCCACCCGCCCCCAACTCACAACTCTGTTGAGTCCAGAAGCTCAGAATCGGGCGTTGGGCTTTGCCGGGTGCTTCAGATCAATGGTAATTATTTAATTTTTTCCGGTTTTATTTTTGCAAACAGAAATCAATTATTACTTAAACTTCAAACAAGCAAACAAGCAAAAAAAACAAAAAACAAAAAAGCGAGAGCCCAGCCCTCTGTCACCTGAGTGAGAAAGGGGGTGAAAGGGTCAGTAGGGACGGGGCCTCAGGACGCCCCATGTAGCTTTTAACCCTAATGTGGCTGAGACAACCAACTTATTTGTGCTAACAAGAAGTGTTTTGTTCCTTATTACTGTGATTAACATTAGTATCCGTGTGGATAACAATGCTGAAATCACATATTTAGGATTTAGATCTGATTAAAAAATGCTGGGGTGGGTGTTCCAGTTGGAGCAGGAGAAGAGAGAATGAAAACAGCCTGGGGAGGGGAAGCCAGATCCGTTTCCTCGCTCGCTTGTGGATGTCATGTTCTCTCTTCTTGGTGGTGGCCAAAAACCGACCTGGCATCAGGCTCGAGGCGGCTCCTGCATGCCCCACATGTGCATCTGTGGGTGCCCTTGCAGACCGGACACCGCGCCGGGTCGAGCTGACACGAGTTTGCAGCTGCGATAGAACATGGAGATGTCATGGGCGCGACAGAGCCTGGCGGGGATACCAGCAGCGTGTGTGTGTGGACGGCAACGTTGTCTGTGTGCGCGTGTGTGAGTGAGGGAGAGAGAGAGAAAATAGGTGTGTGCTCAGGCTCCGGGTGCCTCTGTCTGGCTGCTGAGGCTGAGATGGGAGCAAGCGGCTGGCTAGGCTGGTGGTGGTTCCAGACCACACTTTTGTAGAACAATCACAAGAGAAAATTGTCGTGGGGGGAGGAGGAGAAGACGATTTTTCTTGTGATCCTCTTCTAACGCCGCTTCTCTCCTTTCTCTTCCCCCTCACCCCGTCTTCCCTCCTCTTGTCCCTCGCCCCGCATGCTCCCGGCTTGCCGCCTGCAGGATGAGTTCCACCCGTTCATCGAGGCTCTGCTGCCTCACGTCCGAGCCTTCTCCTACACCTGGTTCAACCTGCAGGCGCGGAAGCGCAAGTACTTCAAGAAGCACGAGAAGCGGATGTCGAAGGACGAGGAGCGGGCGGTGAAGGATGAGCTGCTGGGCGAGAAGCCCGAGATCAAGCAGAAGTGGGCATCCCGGCTGCTGGCCAAGCTGCGTAAAGACATCCGGCCCGAGTTCCGAGAGGACTTCGTGCTGACCATCACGGGCAAGAAGCCCCCCTGCTGCGTGCTTTCCAACCCCGACCAGAAGGGCAAGATCCGGCGGATTGACTGCCTGCGCCAGGCCGACAAGGTGTGGCGGCTGGACCTGGTCATGGTGATTTTGTTTAAGGGGATCCCCCTGGAAAGTACTGATGGGGAGCGGCTCTACAAGTCGCCCCAGTGCTCGAACCCCGGCCTGTGCGTCCAGCCACATCACATTGGAGTCACAATCAAAGAACTGGATCTTTATCTGGCTTACTTTGTCCACACTCCGGGTAGGTCGCTTTCAATCCCTCCCTCCCCTATTTTATTTTACTTGCTGGCATTTGTTGTGTTTATTGTTCCTCCTTTTTCCAAATGATACATAATACATGCAATGGGCCTAACTGCTGTACCTGTCCTGCTGAGGCCTCCAGCGTATTTGATGTTCCTTTTTCCCGTATTTCCCTCCACCCTCTCCATTCTTCCTCCTTTGCTCCCTTGCCATGTTACCAATTTTGTGCATCTCCATCTTTGGAGGACTCATCTTTCCCAAAAGACACTGCAGGTCTTAGGACTGGAGCCAAGGTGCCCCAGAATTACCCGCGATGGTGAGTCTGTGATGAACATCGCCACCAACACCACTACCACCACCACCCAAAAAAAAAAAATCAATCGTTGCTCTGATTTAAAATGAGTCAGAAGTATAGGGGGGCAGGTGCTGGTTTTCCTGCCATCTTCCCCTCAAGTCCTGGGGGAAAGCTGGATTTGGCACATGGGGGTGGGCAGCAGTTCAGCAGAGAAAGGGGCATGTAAGCCCTACCCCCACCCCCAGTGTGAGATGGAATGAAGAGAAAAGAGGAGAGAAGGCAGAGGTGGGCAGATTCTGGGGCCCATATGCCCGGTGGTTGCTGTTTTAGCTGGGATTTGACTGTCAGAGTGAAGGAGAGTCGTCTGATTTCATTGAGAGCGAAAATGAGCTGAGACTCCTTGTGCTCTTCCCCTTCGTTGTGTTCCGCTGAAGCAGCAGCGGGTCCCCAGGACAGACGCCCAAAGCCCCTGCACCTCTGCCAGGCACTGAGAGGCTCTCCAGCACAGTCAGGGAGCCGCACTGCTGCAGCAGAGGTCTTAACAAAACCATCAAAAAACTCTTGTCAAATTTCCTTTTCCTTTTGTGTTCCAAGTAGTTCCAGTTTTCCTCTTTGCTGTTCCAATTTTACCCTGTATTTTAGGTCAGGATGGTTCAGTTCTCCTCTCTTCCTTCCCACTCCCCTTCCCTTTTTATAATTTCTTTCCGCTTTTGTTTTCTTACAAATTGAAACAGAGATGGCTGGTTAATTTTTAGCCTCCACTCAGCTACGCCCAATTTACTGCCGCCTTTGAAACCTAAACGGGCGGCACTCTGTGATTAAGCAAGGCAGAAGTGTGTTTACATTATGCCCAACCAACTTGTAATGAGGGGGCTACCAAACCTTTCTTTCTCTGTGTGTGTTTTTCCTTTCCTCCTTTCCAGTATTTCCCCCGTTGTTTCTCTTCTTTCTCATTATGCGAATGTAGGAGAATGTGGCTTAACTTCAACTCTGTCAATGTTCTCTCCCACAAGTGTGTGTGAGTGTGTGTGTGTGTGTGTGTGTGTGTGTGTGTGTCTTCCTTCCTGTTCATTCACAGAAAAGAAAAGCAACTCACTTTTCTGCTGTGGTCACCCTCTTGCCTGTTGGGAAGTTGGGATAAGTATGACTTAATCCAGAAATGAAATTTGGGGTTGCTTTCCTCATTATGTTGACTGGGATTAGCACTGAGAGTTTGTATGTTACGGAACTCTGGGGAGGAAAAGGTGGTATCTGAAGCTTCTCTTCTTGCTCATTCTCTCACACTGTAAGGAGGGTAGTTGGTTAGAGACAGTGGACACGGTCCCCGGCCCCCCACCGCCCCTACTACCCTGCCTCCTGTCATGGATCTTTCTCAGCCTGAACCTGGCCCTATATGACTATGACCCTTCATGAAGAATGACCAACTGCCTGTCCTCTCCCCCATTTGTCCTTTCTCTTTTTGAAAAAGAGACTAAAAAAAAATTTTTAAGTAATCGCCTATTCTCTGTCTACACAGTGAGTCAGAGTGGGGAGGGTGTGTGCCTGCTGGCTTAAGGGAGGCTTAGAGTCTTCAGCTTATGTCTGTCAGATAGCTCCTCTGCCAGGGTATCCTGTACCTTCTGATTTTAGAACTAGAGCCTCCAGGACAAAAATCAATACTCATCTTCTTCCTGAGCTGGCTTCCTCCTGCCCTGCTCTCTAGATGGATCCCTGTAGCAGAGGTGTTTCCCTGGCCTCTTTTATTTTAGACCAAATTCTTGACTGCTGCCAGCATGGGGCTGAGGTGGGAAGAAGTGTGTGTGATGAAGGAGACTGTTTTCTGGCTAGCCTTCTGGCTCCGGGACTGACCGGGCAGGTGTTGGGAGAAGGGAGGTGCTTCCACTGCCCCCCAGCTACTGTGAGATCATTTGCCCAGTAATATGAGTGAATTCATGCCCCATCGCATGCACCCAGGCCACCTCTGTCCCAGTTGAGGCAGAGTTCCTTGACAAAAGCTGAGTGGAAGACTGAGGACGTTTTTAATAATTCATCTATAATTCAGCTCCCTGGTATCCAGGTAGTTTCAGTGAGGGTAGGATTTTTCTTGCTAGAACTGCTTTAATTCAAGTGTGCCTTACTAAAGGAGTGGGGGTGACTTGGTGCAGCATGGGCCACCAGTGGCCTTGGGTAGGGGGTCTCAAGATGGCATGGAGCGAGCACAGCTTCCTGTCTGAGCCACCCCAGTTTTCTAGGAAGTGTGTTCTGGCCGAACCCCCAAACAGCATCTGTCTGGGAGCACAGCCTTCTCCAGGCCTGAGCCTATAGACACATTCAGACAGTGCCCCTTGCTCCTTCCTCCTAGTGTAAACGGGGTACGGCCAAGGTGGCAAGGGATTAGACAAGAATTGCTTTGGACTCAGAAAGAAGTGCTTGTTTTCCTCAAAACTGAGCTGAAGAACCCGATCTGGCTGAGCTGGTGGCCCTGGGTTTGATGAAGAACAAATTTGACATAGTGGTAAGCGTGGGGCTGTGGTTTCGCCTCCAGACGCCTTTGTGATCCATGGCCCTCCAGTGCCCTTGTTTTGCCCCACATGAAGCTAGGGAATAAAGGACGCATATGTGACATCAGGAGCTCCACTCCCAGACTCTGGGATCTGAAAGGCTGCCCAGAGCATGCCGTGGCCCCACATGGGCAACCCTCCTCTGGGAAGGAAGGAATCTTGCTGAGTGTCTGCTGTTTAGAGAGGAGGTCAAGGCAGAGCTAGGTCAGAGAGCACTGCCATGGGATGGAGGAGGTACATTCCTGGTAACAGCCTTCCATCCAGAGGGGGTATCCCTGGACAACTGGCTGGAAATGGAGGGTTGGGGAAGGGGTAATGTGGGCCAGGAATCCTCTGCCAGTGTGAGGGCTGAGCTAGTGGAAGCACCGCAGCAGACTATCTCTAGGGCATCTGCAGGGCTCTGAAAGTCTCCTGGTGTGCTCACACCTTCCCCCACCCAGGCCTCAGTCAGTGGTAGGAAAGAAAAGAAATCTGAAAGTAATAAAGTGCTTTCCTGCCTAGAAATTTCATCTTCTCCCTGTCAACAGTGGAGGCCCACCAAGTCCAGGCATTTAGGTGGTAGCTCCTCATCTCAGCTGTTTCATTATGGAGAAGGAACCCCCACCACCAGTGCCAGCAGTTGCAGACTTATGGCCAGTCTTGATTCATCCATACCCTCCACTGCCTGCCCACGCCGGGTTTAGAAGAAAATCTAGACATCATAGCCTTTTATCTGTAAATATTTCTGTACACATCTCTAAAGATAAGAACTCTTGAAAAATGTACCCGCAATACCACTATTGTGCCTAAAAATAATCAACAACTTCTTTATATGGTCAGATAGCTAGTCAGTGTTCAGTATTTCCTTAATTATCTCTTAATTTTGTTTGTTCACATGGATCAAAACCCAAATCAGGTTCCTTGCACTGCAATGGGTTGATGTGTCTTTCAAGACTCATAATCTCTAGGTGGTCCTCTTCCTCCTCCTCTTCCTCCTTCATCTTAGTTTCTTTTCTGGCAGTTTCTGGGTTGCTGTTGAAGGAACAGAGTCGTTTGTCCTGTAGGGTTTCCATGCCTGGACTCTGCAAATTGTGCTTCCCTGGGTCATTCAGTGCCCTGCTCTGAGAGGAGATTCTGCCTCCCTCCTGGCCTGATCCTGGGACAGCTGGGCCTTACCTGTCACAGGAAATGGATTAGCACCTGAGGATTTGTCTAAGTGAACATTTTCAAATGTAAACTTGCTCTTCTGAGGTATAAGAGCTCCTGGTTTTTGCTCTGTGCTTCCAGGCTTGGAGTTTTGAAGTGAGCACTGGTTTTCAGCCGCTTGTCTGCATCCTTCTCTGGTGTGAAGGTCATCTCTTGGCCATGTCAGCCCATCCAAGGTGGGGGCCAATGCCAGCGATACCCTCCAATCCTTTGCTGGATGCCTGGCCTGTCTGGTGGCTCTGGTAAAAATGCATGGGAGGGGTCACAGGAGTACCAGCCGCCCTCTCAGAGGGCTAACCCCTACCGTGGCCCCTATGCCACCTCACCCACTGCCTCCTTTTTCAAAGTTCAGAAATGCCACTGGTCTGTGTCTTTGAGGCAGCACCATCTGGTGCCAGGGCTGGTGAAGACAGATTCATAAAATTAGCAAGACATACAGATGATCTTTTAATGCAACATAGGATCCCCTTTAGAACATCCTGAAAGAGATACCACTGTCATTCAAGGGTCAGCTTTGGTTGTTGTAAAATTCTTCTGTTTGTTTAACTCAGAGGATGGTTAAGGGATTAAACCAGATAATACTTTAAGGTACCAGCACACAGCAGGCAAGCAGTGGATGGCAGCTGCCTCAGTTACTATTGTTAGGATCTCGTGAGCCCAAGGCTGTCTCCGTATCACCTTGACCTGTCAGTCTTATTTCTGTCTTACAGGAGACCCAGGTGAGAGCTAATTTTTCTTGAACATGGCAGCCTTTTACATGCTGAAGGTAGTGCTCACGGTTCCTCTCCCCTCTCCCCCAGGAAGTTGTCCCTTCTCCAGGCCAAACATTGCCAGTCAGTCCCTTCCGCCTCCTGCATGTGATGCAGCTCCTTGTGCCCTTGCCATTTTGTTCACCATCCCCTGGAGGTCCTCTTAAACTGGGGTGTTTGGTATTGAACACAGAAACTCTAGGTGTGATCATATCCCATGGGAGCTATAGGA